TCTCAGTGCCTGCGAATCCCTGGGTACCTCTCTGTATCCCAGTTTCCTCGTTTATAAAGTGGAGCAAATCCTGGCACCGTGGGGTCATCCTCAGGATTAAAGGAGGTAAACATGCAAAGCTAAATCGCCTAAAGCCAGCAGCTGTGGGATTTGTGTTCAGTGGTTCATGAGGATGGTGTTGGAGGGCGTCCTGCTTGAACCTCAGCTGCTTGGTCCTGGTGTCTCCTGCCCCCCTGTCTACAATGAGGAATTGTCCTTCCTTCTGTATCTGCTTTCCCTCCCACCCCGCTCTTGGTCAGAAATCTGCTTGGAAGGCCGTACCCAGAGCCACACAGCCATCAGGCTCAAGGGGACCTGGACTCCTCTCACCCCAGCTGGCCACCACCCTCTTTCTCTGGGCACGCTTTGGGGGGGTTTTCTGTGGTGCTGTGGGCCTGCAGCTGTTGAAGGGGGCCCCTATTGTGTTGGGTCTCACCAGAGTGTGATGTGAACTTGCCTTTGGCAGACCCCTGGACAGTGTACTTTGGTCAGAGGAAGCATTGGTTATCATGACAAGACAGGGAGTTGGATGGAGGTTTCACTGACATAGCAAGATAATATTTTGGGGAAATAGAGTCATTCATTCCACTTACATTTTTCTTTTTCTTTTTAAGAAATACTTGTTTCCCATCAGGTAGCCTAAACTCTCAAACAGGCATAGTATTTGTGAAGGAAAGGGATGTGCAGGTCACTGGAAAGGGCCTACTGGCTGGGAACAGGAAACAGGTCTGTGAGAGAGGCCGCTTGGAGGGACTGTCCCTGAGAGAGCAGGGGACCTATGTGGGTTTCGGGGAGAACCTTGGTGGTGGCTTCCTGTGGCTACACCACTCCCAAGAGGAGCAGGCATGCTCAGGCCTCTCTGATCAGGCATCAACACATCAGAACCTCATCACTCCCCAGATGTCTCTGAGCCAGTGCCAGGGAACCCTGAAGGAACAGTAACAGAGGCCCTCGGGACACCTGAGCTGCCCTGGCATGCTAGCCTAGGCTGAGTGCTTTCTATAAACAGTTTCAGTTAATCCTGACAACACTTGGCTTTTAAACACATCCGTTGGATCACATCCCTTCCCACTACGCTTAGAATAAAATCCAAACGCCTCCTCATTCATGATCTACGCTATGGGTATCTCCGCTGCTCTTTACCTCGCTCACTGTACTCTGGCCACACTGGCTCCCCTTTCCCGTAGCACAACAGGTCTGTACCTGCCTCAGGGCCTTTGCACTTGCTCTTCTCATTGTCCAGAGTGACCTTTCCTCAGTTCTTCTGGGTGCTTCCTTCTCAACAGTTCAGCTCAAAGTGGGAGAGGTCTGCCCTGACGACCCTTACTAAAGTAGCCCCCACACTCCAGACGTGCTGTGTGATGTCCCCACTATCTAAAATGATCGATATCTGCAGTTCTTATGAATCTAACAGGATGTTAAGTGGAATTTTACATTTTTTCCCAGAATCGCAGGCTAGGCCCAAAGTCGAGGACAAAAGGCACAAAATACAGTTGACCCTTGAACAACAGGGGGATTGGGGGATGCTCCTGAAGAGAGATCAGGGGATTGGCCCACCCACCCCCCATGCAGTGAAAAATCCATACATAACTTTTGACTCTCCAAAAACTTTGCTAAAGCCCACTGTTGACTGAAAGCCTTACCAATGACATACAGCCTATTAACATATATTTTGTTACATACATACATATATATATGTGTATATATATATATGCTGTAGTCTTACAATAAAGTAAGCTAGAGAAAAGAAAATGTTAAGAAAATCATAAGACAGGGGCTGTCTCTAAAAAAGGAAAATCGTAAGAGAAAAGACATTTATAGTATTGAAAAAAATCCCAAGTAGACCAGACCTATGCAGTTCAAACCCTTGTTGTTCAAGGGTCAACTGTAATATAAGTTCAGGGAGCTGCTGACAGCTGGGGCCAGCCCCGTCCTACAGGGCCGAGAGAGTGATGCCATCTCAGAGGACCAGCCCTGCCCCCACCCCCACCGCCATTCCTCTACAGTGAACTTGAGCAGGGGGTGTGGCCTTTAGGTGAGTACAGTGTTTGTGGTAAGAAACCATTCCCTCCCTCCCACTCCTAAGGCGGAGGGAACAGTGGTTTTCCAGGGCACCTGCTGGCAGGGCCCTGGCCAGCCAGCTGCCCTGGGCCGCCTGAGCTGGGGAGAGTAGAAGTGAGAGAGTGGGAAATCACGCACACCCCAGCCCTCAGGTGTTGTGTGGGGACTAATGCAGAGTGAGGTGGGTTGTGTTCACCAACTCCGTTTTACAGATAAGCACCTGCCATTCCAGGAAGACCCATGGCTCTTGTGAGGTTCAGGTGAACAGGGTGGAGCCGGACTTTGAAGCTAGGCTTGTCTGATTTGAAACTGGATCATTTCCCATATTAGCTTCTGCCTCTCTTTTCTCCCCTGACCTTTGTCAGGAGCTGGAGGACTTTGGGGAACAGGTGAAGCCTTGTTTTGTGCATGGGAGCGGGTGGTGTAGACAGCGTTGTATGATGGCCGTTCACTGTAGGTGGAATAACCAGAGAGAGCATCACTTCAACTCTGAAACTTATCTCCAGAGTGTGAATATTCAACCTGGATGATTTTGTTTTTGATCTTTTTCCCACCTCTTGACTTCCCCTTCCCAGTAGCCAGCCTTAGCAATCTAACTCAGCTGTGAATGCGTAAATGTAAGAAAAGGCTTTGCAGCATATGCGCCAACATGTGAGCAGTGCTTGATTATCTTAGTGGAAGAGAGTAGGATCGAAGGGATGATGTAAACAGGATTTTACATTTTTACTCTGTAATTCTGTATTCTTTGACTTTTTTTTTTTTTGTGATTATGCATTCGTGTAAAAGAAACCTAAGAAAACCACCTTGGACATGGTTTTAGAGATGCCTAAGGAAGTCATTGCAAGCTTGTTTGCCTGGCCACAGAAATGCCTTGCTCTTTTTGGATGGGGGCTTAGGGAGGAAGCCTGTGGGGGTGTAGGGGGCTCATTCAGGGTCTCCTGCATGTATCCTTGCCTTGGAGTCCCTCTGAATCCATCGTGTTCCTGTGCTACTTGCTGCCACAAACAAAACTGGGTCCTCTCTGAAGGAACTTTACTACAAAGTGTAGTAATCGCTTTTGGAGTTTCCAGTTTAATATTCAACCTGAATCTGATGCCAGTTTAGTGAGGGTTGGTGCTGTCCTGCTCTGCTCTTGCTCTGTTTATAAACACGTTTATTGCTCTGAGAAGGAGCTGGTTCTTTTCACACAAACAGGAAGAGCCTGGGGTCCCTCCAGAGGTTAGTGGACATAGAGCCTAGAATGAAAGATTTAAACTCTACAGGTAATTTGCACATGGAAGATTGTGGAGTACAGCCTGGCCGTGGTTGTGGGGGTGTGAGTGGGCCTGTTGACCTGGCCTTTAGAACCTGAGGAAGAAGGGAATCACCGCTTTCCCTCCCAGGACCAAGCAAACAGGACCTTCTGAGGAAGAAGGTCCCAGCACTGGCAGCAGACCTAGTTCTGCTGTGGGCAAGACTTTTCCAGTGAGACGTATTAAATGGATATTGTCAAAACTATTTAAATATGTTTTCAATGGGGAAACCCCTATAAAAACCACATATGGATATACTGTATATCCAAAGGAAATGGAAGCAGGAACTGGAACAGACGCTTGTACACCCATATTCACAGCAGCATTATTCACAATAGCCAAAAGGTGGAAACAACCCAAATGTCCATTGACTGGTGAATCGATAAACCAATTATGTTTTATTCATAAAATGGAATATTATTTAGCCACAAAAAGGAATGGGATTCTTATAAATGGGGGAAGCGATGAATAGTTGGAGCACAGTAGATTTTTCAGGCAGTGAAAATACTCTATATGATACTCTATTGAGAATACATGTCGTTTTTACATTTGTCCAAACAGAATGGACAGCACCAAGCGTGAACTCTCATTGATCTGTTGATTATGGGTGATTATGATATGTCAATATAGGTGCATCAGTTGTAACAAATGTACCACGCATGATGGGGAATGTTGATAATGGAGGAAATTATACATGTGTGGGGGTGGAGGAGTAAATGGGAAATCTCTGTATCTTCCTCTCAATTTTGCTATGAACCTAAAACTACTCTAAAAAAATAAGGTCTTGTCTACGGCCATGCCACCCTGAACACGCCCGATCTTGTCTGATCTCGGAAGCTAAGCAGGGTTGAGCCTGGTTAGTACTTGGTTGGGAGACCACCTAGAAATACCAGGTGCTATAGGTGTAAAAAACAAATAAATAAAAATAATAAATAAAAGATAAAATCTTACATTTTTAAAAAAGACATTATGATAGTGAAATAAGCTAGGCACAAAAGGACAAATATTGTATGATTCCACTAATGTGAGGTACTTAGAGTCATCAGATTCTAAGAGACAGAAAGTAGAGTGGTGGTTGCCGGGGGGAGGGAGAACAAGAAGTTAGCATTTAATGGGCATAGAATTTCAGTTTGGGAAGATGAAAAAGTTATGGAGATAGATGTTGGTGATATTGTACAACACTGTAAATGTACTTAATGCCACTGAATGGTACACTTAAAATGGTTAAAATGGTAAATTTGTTATGTGTATTTTACGACCAAAAAAAAAAAAAAACCATATCAAAGTGCTTTCTCAAGATATCTTCTGGTCTACAGCCCTGCTACCCTGAACAAGCCCGATCCCATCTGATTTCGGAAGCTAAGCAGGGTTGGGCCTGGTTAGTACTTAGATGGGAGACCACCTAGGAAGACCAGGTGCTGTAGGTGTAAAAAAATTAAAAAATAATAATAATAAGGATTGTAAGCTGACAAAGTCCTTGCAATCTGTGAGGTCAACCAAGGATTGCCTCCCCTAAAAAATAAAAAAGACATCTTCTCACAAGACAGGTTTTACAGTACACTTTCTACTCAATGTTCTTAATGTATTCTTTACTTTTTATATATTCAGATGAATGTTCTAGATTCAAGAGAAACTGGAATGATCTGGTCATTTACCAAAACTCACTGAAGTAAACCCTGTGACATCCCAGGTGGAAAGATTAGTTTGAGGTGCGTGGGCGGACTGTTGTACTTTTATGCCGAGGAGAGTAGCCTTTAGCAAAAAACAGATGTTAAGTTGTGGTATTCTGAACAGTAGACTTCTGTCTTGCTGTCCACCTGTAGTGATAGAGTCTCAAATAGTACATTTTACCCATTTTTAAATGTCTGCCTGCATTTCAGTAGTTATCCCTAATAGAGAAACAGCACCAAATCCCCAATACATATGGCTTACTTGGACGCAGAAATGTCTAATTTTTTTAAATTAGTTTCAGGTATACAGTTCATTGGTTAGATATTTATATAGTTTATGAAAGAAATGTTTAATTTTGAAGCTGTGACAAGCCCTCATGTCTTAGCCCCAGTAATTCTCCTCTGGAATGCCTGCCTGAAACCTAGCTGGCATTTTTAGAAAGTTAGGAGCTAGCCTCCAAATTCTAACCCGGGGACAGTGGGGCAGAGTAGGTGTATGTCTTCCTCATGATACACAACTGGTTAAAGACTTGAAGTCTTCGAGAACTGAAACAAAGCATCTCAAGTTAAATGAGTCGTCTTAACCAGCGGCTCCTCTTTAGAAGGCCCATAGGCCACAGAGTGGTGGTGTGTGGAAGCCTGACGGGCCACCTGCCCCCAAGCCGAGAATTGCTTTCAGCCCTTCCAGGAACTTGTTTCTAGCCTCCCATTATTCATTATTCATAATCCGTGTGACCTATTCCAGTAACTTTATAAGCCCTATGAAAAGACATTACACTTCCAGAGTTCATAGTGAATTCTCAGAATATCCACTTATTTTAAATGGAAGCCCTTATAATACTTTATAGAAAGATTTGAACAAAAACATGGTCCTTGAAATGTGAACCTTTATACACGTGTTATTAAGTGTGGTTTTTAATCCTGCAGGGTATGCGATGGCAAACAGATTAGCAGAAGAGCCTCAGAAAGGGGGCTGGAGGATTTAGCCGCTTTTTGCCCCCTCCTGGCATCCAAGGGCCATCTCTCCGGGCATACTCTGCACTATGGACTCCCCAGGGTACAATTGCTTTGTGGACAGAGACAAGATGGATATTGCCATCCAGGACCTGGGACCCAAGGAGCTGAGCTGCACAGAACTGCAGGAGCTAAAGCAGCTCGCACGCCAGGGCTACTGGGCCCACAGCCATGCCCTGCGCGGGAAGGTGTATCAGCGCCTGATCCGGGACATCCCCTGCCGCACGGTCACACCTGATGCCAGTGTGTACAGTGACATCGTGGGCAAGATTGTGGGCAAGCACAGCAGCAGCAGCCTGCCTTTGCCCGAGTTTGTGGACAACACGCAGGTACCCAGCTACTGCCTAAACACACGGGGCGAGGGTGCCGTGCGGAAGATCCTGCTGTGCATCGCCAACCAGTTCCCCGACATCTCCTTCTGCCCAGCCCTGCCCGCAGTCGTGGCCCTGCTGCTGCACTACAGCATCGACGAGGCCGAGTGCTTCGAAAAGGCCTGCCGCATCTTGGCCTGCAATGACCCCAGCAAGAAGCTGATTGACCAGAGCTTCCTGGCCTTCGAGTCTTCCTGCATGACGTTTGGGGATCTGGTGAACAAGTACTGCCAGGCAGCCCACAAGCTGATGGTGGCTGTGTCGGAAGATGTCCTGCAGGTTTATGCGGACTGGCAGCGATGGCTGTTCGGGGAGCTCCCTATCAACTACTTCGCTCGAGTCTTCGATGTCTTCCTGGTGGAAGGCTACAAGGTGTTGTACCGCGTTGCATTGGCAATCCTCAAGTTCTTCCACAAGGTTAGAGCTGGGCAGCCGCTTGAGACGGACAACGTGAAGCAAGACATCCGCGCCTTTGTCAAGGACATTGCCAAGACTGTGTCTCCCGAGAAGCTGCTGGAGAAAGCTTTCGCCATTCGCCTCTTCTCTCGGAAGGAGATTCAGCTCCTACAGATGGCCAATGAGAAAGCTTTGAAGCAGAAGGGCATCACTGTCAAGCAAAAGAGGTAGGCAGGCCCCCTGAGGCTGAGGTGTAGTGGGCCTCTAGGCAGGCTGCCGGGGCCCTCGTGGGGCAGGGCTTCGGTGGAATACATCCCGAGGGCCTAGGGCATGAGCTTGTTCTGCAGCCTCTTGGTCTACCTACTGCCAGGCAGTCATCAGTATGTGGATAGAAAACCACTGGAAAGGAGAGAGGTCCTTCCTGTCTACAGCCACAGGCTGCTTAGGCAGCTGTGGGCATGGAAGGTGCTGGGTCCTATCCTCAGACCCGAGGCCCATGGCAGAGACAAAAGCTGGGTGTTGACCATGGGGTCAGAAGATCCAACAGTGGGCTGGGCTGGCTGCCTCGGGTCATGTCTCAGCATCCCTTCTGTGCCCCTCCAGCTCTGGGCTCCCTCGCTGGCCATTCTTGTGGCTGCTGGGCATGGCCCCCCTGCCCTGAGCACAAACCCCTGAGTAGCAGGGGTGGGAAGGGCCCATGGTGTCCTGAGACCTTCTCAGTGGCAGATGCTGTGACTGTAGCTGTGAAGGCCTTTTTTCTGAGACAAAGGCAGGCACTCTTGGACATCAGTATTTGCCAGTAACCTCTCCTTGTCTGTTTTATTTTTCTCCTCCTTCATGTCCGTTGCTTCCTCCTGTTTTTCAGTGTTTCACTTTCTAAAAGGTAGGTCTGGAAATCACATCTTCATGCCTGGCTTCTGTCTGTCTTCCAGTCTGGCTGTCCCAAGGCCTCGCTGCTTGTGCTGGCTCTCAAGGCTGGCTTCAGCTGTGCTGTCTCTGAGTCAATGTTCAGGCACCACCTGTCTGTCCTGTCTGTCTGTCTGCCTGCCTGCCTGCCCGGCTGCCTCAGTCGCGCTCTTTACTGGTGCTTGGCTGGCCCTGAAGCATTGTCTTGCAAGAGCTGATTCACTTTCTGCCCCCATTTCTTAGAGAAAAGGTGCTTTTGTCCTTACTTGGGCTGGGTGCTCTCCCCTCTTTGTAATGGAATGGAAGTGGGGCTCCAGGGGACAGCTCCACTGTTTCTTTCTGAGGGCACCTAGGACCAGGCTCTAACTTGGCTGAATAGGTGAGACGTCCCCTCCAGGCTTGGCTCCCAGGAGAGCCTCTATACACCCCGGGGTGGGGACGTGGTCAGGGCTGGAGTTGAAGCTGTGCTCTGAACCTCTCCCCAGGCAGTTTGTGCACCTGGCTGTCCATGCGGAGAACTTTCACTCAGAGATTGTCAGTGTGAAGGAGATGAGAGACATCTGGTCGTGGATCCCTGAGCGGTTCGCCCTCTGTCAGCCCCTCCTGCTCTTCTCCTCACTGCAGCATGGGTACAGCCTGACCAGGTAATGCCAAGGTGGCCAGAGAAAGCTGGGCCTGCCCTCCCGAGGCCCTGAAGCCTGGATTCTGATGGCCAGGTGGTGCAGGAGAGGCAGAGGGAACCATGAAGTTGCCCAGCTTCTCATCCTGCCTATGCTTCTGGCAGGCCATGCTGAAAATGGACCTTTAAGTTGGGCACCTGAGTGAGGCCTCTTCCTGGGGGCCCTAGAATCAGGAGACCCTTTTCTGGGATTCTCTCCATTCCCAGGCCACCCAAATTCAGAGGTCATTGCTGTACACATAATAGCTCCAGGTCCGCATGTAGGTGTTCGGACATGGGAGGCGGAGTTCCCCCCAGGAGCTTACAGAACTGTAAGAGAGGACGACTCAAGGCAATGGTTCACTACCCCTCCCCTCTACACTTCATCAGTCCATAAGCTGGGAACAGGTTGGTCCTGTGGTGGAGGGGGGCCTCTGCTGGGGCCCCCCAGGGCACACTGCCTCCCTGGCAGCTCTGTCAGGTGCAGCCGCCTCCTCAAGCCTCTGATGGCAGGCCTCAGAAACTCTGGCTTGGGTGACCTGGCAGGGGTGGCACAGGCAGAGCCGGCCTAGCCCATGTGGCAGGCACCATCTGCAGCCCCATGAGTGTTACAGTACAGCTGGAGGTGCATTTACCCAGCCCCCACCTCTGTGGGGGACCAGCTAAGAGATGACCAAGCAGAGTTGCCAGGACCACTAGCCAAGCCCTGGGCACCTGGTGCCGTCACAGCAGCAGCCTCAAACCTCGCTTTCTTCCCACTGCCACCCAGCTCCCACATGCTTGGACTCCCAAGAACATTCTGAGCTTTCCTAGAGCAGGGACCTGTTCCTCTGGTTCTTGCTTCCCTGAAGCACCTGGCATGCGGCTCTGCCTATTGGGGGCTATTTGCCATGCCACTTCTCTCCTGTGTCACACCAGGGCAGACAGCCCTGGGGCAGCTAACCACTCAGCCTGCGGGCCACCTGGTGGGAGCTCCATCTTGGCTCAGAAGAGTGCCCAAACCAGAGTGTTGCCAGGTCCTTGGCCTTCATGCCTGGTCCCTAGGAGATAAGGAAATGGCAGTTCCCCTGCCTGTCCACCCCCGAACAGCCTGGGTTTCTCGGACACTGTGGGCACTGGCTGGAGGTGACACGTGGAAGGAGTGCAGGATAACTTGCCCATCAGGACTAGTACATGTGGTCTCTTCCAGGTTCTTCTTCCAATGTGAAGGACATGAGCCCACCCTGCTTCTCATCAAGACCACACAAAAGGAGGTGAGCAGGGACCAGAGGGAGCCTGGGGTCCTGGCCTCTGAGTTCTGGGGAGTCTGCTGCTCCTATGCCCCAGGGTGGGTAACTCTGCAGCCTCCACCAGCCTTCCTGCACTTAGGGGCGCAGAGCAGAGCCACCCTCCACAGAGAAGTGAATTCAGCCTCCCCATCTGACCCCCAAGTACCCAGGGCCTCCCTGTTTCTCCTGGGGGTCCAGGCCCTCCTGAAACAGCATGGCTGCTTAGAGGAGCATTGCAGAAATGCCTAGTGAGCAAGGCCTCGCCTCCTCCCGCCACAGTGGGCCAACACCAGGTGAGTCAACAGCCTTCACCTGCCTCTACCCCTTGACAGATAGTCGTCAGGGCCTTGTTCTCTGTATTAGCTATCCCCCCTGAAAGTCCCCTGAGACATCTGGGGAGGTCGGAGCTCATGTGCCCCGATCCTGGGGGCATCTACATGCAGCAGAGGCTTCTTGTTCATTGGCTCCCAAACCTGCACCCATGGCAGTTCTGGGTTCCTTACCCTGTGTTTGGGTCTCCAGGAGGAGCCTGGGTGTCTGTGTCATAACAAGTGACTGGTTGTCAGATACTTTGGGCAAACCCTGCATCCACCAGAGGATCCTGAGTCTAATGTGAAATCAAGCACTTTGCTGGCTGATGGTGGGGTGTGGGGGAATGTTGTTGAGCAGGGTACCTCCTGGAAGCTTTCATCCGAGAGGCCTCCCTGGGTTGATGCCCAAAATCAGAATGTGGGCATGGAACTTATTCCCATGCTTGAGGGCCAGGGAGGGAAACAAAATGAAAATATCCCAAACAAGCTGATGGTGGCCTGGGCAGCCACTCACCCCGCACCCCACTCTCACTGCCAGTCCCCCACCTTCTAAACTCTGACTCCTCACAGCTCTCTCCACCTCCAGCCCTTGCCCTTGAGTGGGGGTCAGGGGTGCTGCAACAATATCCCCCCCCAGTACCATAGCTTTTCAGCAGACCCTGAGTGAGCGGATGCTCCTGCGGGCAGGCAGGGCACAGCCTCACCCGTGGGCCTTTCTCCCCAGGTGTGTGGAGCTTACCTGTCAACAGATTGGAGTGAGAGAAATAAGTTTGGAGGCAAACTGGGCTTCTTTGGGACTGGAGAATGCTTCGTGTTTAGGGTAAGTGAGTCTCCCTGTGGGAGCTCTGAGGTCAACAGGCCCAGCACCCGCCTCACCCCCACTCATGTGACCCTGTTTACTCTCACCATAGCCATTAACCTACAGGAAATCCTCTTGTTTCCTTCTGGTTTGTCGTCATTAGACCACGAGCTCCCTGAGAGCAGGCAGGCTCTTACCTGCCCTGTGTGGCACTGTCACCCCAGCCCCGGCACAGGCCTCGCACACAGAGGGCTCCAGTGAAGATTTGTGGGAGGAAAGTGGGCAGAAGGGGCCTTGCAGGGCACCATATGCCAGCTCCTCTTGCTGCCCTTTTACCCTCAGCTGCAGCCCGAGGTCCAGCGCTACGAGTGGGTGGTCATTAAACACCCAGAGCTGACCAAGCCTTTGTCCTCGGAGACCACCACCTCTTCGTCCCTGCGCTGCCACTCCATGTCCTTACCCTCAGACCCTTCTGATCGCCTTTCGCCATTCCTAGCCACTCGGCACTTCAACCTGCCCTCCAAGACTGAGTCCATGTTCATGGCTGGGGGCAATGACTGCCTCATCATAGGTGGGCACCTCCCTCTACCTCAAGCTGGGATCACTTAGCCTAGGACAAGGGTATGGGGTCATCGGTGGCCAAAGCCCCTGGGCCAGCCATTGCTGACCCAGGTGGCAGGTAGCCCACCTGAAGGACAAGCAGAGCCCTTGTGATGGCAGAGGAAGTAGGCATAAGGGGTCAGGAGTAGGAACAGGCATTCTGGGTAAACCAGCTGAGAAGTGGGGTCTAGCCTGGAATTTGGATCCCAGCTGAAGGCGGGTGGGCTTTGGAGGGTCGAAGGTCAGCCCTGTGGTTTTAGAGAGGTCTCTGGTAGGGCTGGGGCAGGGATAGTGGAGATGCTTAAGGACGGGAGGGAAGCACCTTGGGGAAAATGCCAGACATAAAGGCAGCCACTGACTGAGCATCCTGCAGGTGGAGGGGGCGGCCAGGCGCTCTACATCGACGGGGACCTGAACCGGGGTCGCACAGGCCACTGCGACACTTTCAACAACCAGCCCCTCTGCTCTGAGAACTTCCTCATCGCTGCCGTGGAGGCCTGGGGTTTCCAGGACCCTGACACTCAATGACAGGCCTGCACCGACTGTGACAGCTGCCACTGTGGGGGGGGACGGTGGCCAGGCCCCCTCTTCAGGGAGGAGGCAGTGAATGAAGGACCCCACCACCACCACCACCACCAGCATATGCATGGACAGCATCAGGATGTAGCTGGGGCTCTGGTG